GCTGTTGAAGATATGAGAATCAATTTGTACACAGATATTTTACCTGCACGAAAGAAAATTTAGTATGCTTATAAAATCTAACTTATGCCTTCGTGACTTTGCATCAACTAAAGAAAGTTGTGGAAAACTCCTCTACATGCCTGTCTCATATCTTCAACCCATACAGATGGGTGGCTCGGGACTCTGAGGACTACTCAAAGCATGCTCAAGTTCTGACACGCCATAGTTTTTCATTACATTAATGGGTAAGTAACTAGGAAACATTCCAAGGTGTATGGTGAGTTAAGAGTTGCCAATCGACTAAAAATATTTCTAATACTTCATCAATAAAGAAGGTGACACAATCTGGCCAATATAGAACAGGATCTTCGGTAATTTTCAAGCATTACTAGGGGAACGACGTAAACTTACTAAACTGCAAATGCTCCCCACAAATACAGTTTAGTAAGTCTGAATGAAGTTTGGAGATGTTTGAGACGAAACGACAGTTCTGAAAAAAATATTACTTCAAACAGTGAGTTTTTATACTATGAGGATATTGGTATGTCATTCATCACCTATGCAAGTTTCCTTCTAACTTGAAGCTATATAATCTGCCCTATCTTCACTTCACGTGCATCGTCGAAATCCGTTGGACCGAGACCTTTAGCATCATACACGCCTGATTTTGCAGTATATCTTTTTTTTCTTATTTGTCAAAGTTTTTAAAATAGCTTACCTCAATACGTATTTAATTCTTAACAAGTCCTACAAAAGTTCTCTTCCCCAGCACCTGTATATGACCCGAGTATTTATTTCGCAACACAGATTTGTATACATTTTACAGATTCATAATCGCAACGCAATTCCGAAAACTAAAGCTCTTAGCAAAATCTAGGCCAAACCTTGGTTGACTCAACTTTTCCGAGTGCAAGCCTTCACACGCAAGACTACAACCGTATCTATTCTCGCATACGTCGCTTACAAATTATATACGTACAGAAGCGTTTAGATATCAATCTTTGTATTATCAAAAAATCACATTTTAAAAATCGTAAATTTTATTTCGTTTGTTAAGTTGATCGAAGAATCACAATGGGTGAAACAATGCACACGTAGTTGATACTGGAAGATAAATGTAGTGTCTGTAGAACACTATTCAAAACAAAATTGGTAGAAAAATGAAGATGCTTGCACTAATTTTCAATTTTTGCATTTCAATTTTAGGCATTGGTTTAGTGTCTTCCATCACTTCACACAAACACAACGCAGTATTTAACTTAAAGGACCTGATGAGCAATCTAAGTGATTGTGATGTGCAAATAATGCATACTGGAAGGTACCACAGTCAATTGTCATTAAATGAGTTAAATATTGTGTCCACAACGGTGTTTATGCCTAAATATGAACCAATAAATTTGCATGATTTTAGTGACATGAACGGGAAATTTTTCCCCGCCTTGGAGATTTTAAATTCCCGTGTTTCCTCATGTCGATTAAGTGTAATTTTTTTTCCAACACGAAATAAAGAGGATTACGATTCATACATACTCCGAAAAAAGTCCTTTATCCGAATTGCCTCGAAGTATTATCTCTATTATAGTGCTACCTTGCAAGGAAAAGAGTTATTGCCTAATATCAACGTAATTATTAATATAGTACTGACAAAACTACGAATTGGAAAATCGGATTGGTTCCACGACTTCGAGTTGCCGTTGAAATATTACGTTTTTATAATTATAGCCGAACCAGGTCAAAGCCTTAAAATGTGTTTTCCTCAAAAGGTGAATTTCGGGAAAGATAATGTAAAGTCAAATATATCATGCCTGTCGGAAATAAACGCGAATGAAGATATTCTTGTATCACTGTCTAGAAAGCAGAGATTGCACAGAGATCAGTGGTGTTTTCATATAAACATATTTCCGGATATAACTTGGACACTAAGTAATACTAACCAACTGGATGGGAAGAGACAAATCTCCGAAGACCGATTGATATCAGAAATATTCTTTAGGAGAAACATATCTTCTAAAAATTGGAAGACGTGTATATTATATACAAGTCATTTAATAAAATTCGACGCGCAATGGCTATTACGCTTATCTCGAGTCTACAAGAATTTTGACGTTATAGTGACAAAAGACGGAGGATATCAATTTCTGACTTGCTACACAGAACCCTACATTTCGTTCAGCTTCTATTTTACACCTTTCCAATCAGAAGTCTGGATAATTCTGGGGATATCAATTAGCACACTTATTCTCACAGTTAGTGCGGTTTTTCGTTACACCAACTTAACACTCAACTTACACCAGCTACCTTTCTGTGTGTGGATGTTTGTCTTAGCCACGCTTTTCGAAGAGTCGGGTTTCATGCCTAGTGAAATTGAGAAAAAACACTTTCTTCAGATTATCGCTAGGAATCTGGTGCATCATGTTAGTTATCGTGACAAATGTGTATAACGGAATTATGATCCAAGAACTAAACGCGCCACATAAATTATTCCATCCGCAAACATTCGACCATTTGCGGTGCAAAAATCAGTATGACGATGTGGTAGAATTCCTAGTATAAATTATTTTTATAAAAAACTCTGAGGTGAGGCACTATGATGAGCGGATAAAAAAGTAAAACAAGAATTTGTTATTTTTTTGAATTTGACAGACATCGGGCATTTGTGGGATAATTAAATACATATCAAATCGTAGTATTTGAATTCTTGAATAGTTGCCTCACCGTGGCCCCACAATCGATTTCAAACTTAATAGAGAACTGAAATTACATATTCGATATTACATGCTTCAAATGATATGTATCCTGAGAATGCAACTGAAATTTAAATTAGTTTTCACTGAAGAATATCAAACGGTATGCCGTCGCAATTTTCTTACCAAATAGCAATAGGTCCTGCTAAGTCCCTGGTCGTTATCCTCAGGCATGTTTGTGATTATTACATTCTGATAAGGGAAATTCCTCAAATTACGTAACGCTAAAAATCGATTTTCTAGACCCCTCCACATCCCTTTTAAGTTCATCGCGTACATAGGCACGATATCATTGGAGCCGATACCTCCCCACCCCCCTCGAGCGTTACGTAATTTCAGGACACTTCCTAAACTTGTAATTTCTGAGTTTAATTGCGATGTTATTACAATTCATAACGGAGATTTTACTTTTTACCGGTCGTTATGTTATTATAACAGATAATAATATATAGAAATTGGCCTAAATTCGCTAAAACTACATAAAAAGTACTTCAATATTTAAAGCGATTGTGCGGCCACGGTGAGGCAACTATTCAAGAATTCAAATACTACGATTTGATATGTATTTAATTATCCCACAAATGCCCGATGTCTGTCAAATTCAAAAAAATAACAAATTCTTGTTTAACTTTTTTATCCGCTCATCATAGTGCCTCACCTCAGAGAGTTTTTTATAAAAGTAATTTATTTTATAGTTTGTAGATGTTAATATTATTTCAGAAAATTTTAAGTGTATGTATAGGGATGTAGAACATTTTTGAAAAACTTATAAATATTTATAAAATTGTAGTTTCAAAATTTCTGAAAATGTAACCAAACAATAATTTAGATATAATACATCTACAGTATGATTCTAAAGACCTCCGATATGTATCCACATATGATGAATATACACCCATGGCTGTTCAAAAATGATTCTTCACTCATTACTCGATCATTCAAAACTATGAAGAAAATTATTTAGGTATTATTTAGTTATTTAATTTTATTCACTACATGTACCTCAAATTCATGGGGCAATGTGAGATTTTGTATGGGTAATGTGATATTCTAAATTATAAAATTTTCTCCACCCTTTAAGATTCTCAGAACCGTTTACATTTTTGAAATCCTTTAAAAACTGCCCGAGCACTAGTAATTTGAATTTTCAATTCGTTCAAAAAAGGTGTCAATTGCGCCACCCCGACCATCATGTAAGCAAATGGGAATTACGAGTATTTATTACTTATACTAAACTAACCACTCTTTTTTATTGTCCTGTAGGTCATTCAATTGACCTTTTACGTAAAAGTGTTAAATACGAAAAAGACTGCTCTTTACCTGTGGAATCTAAAAAACTCCTATGTCTAATAAGAAAGTTTAAGTTTTACGCTGAAATCAGAGACCCGATTTCGAGTTCTACTAGAAGGACTAAAAATTTTCAAAATCCAAAAAAGACCGCACTGGGAAATTGAATTCTCTAATTATTTGACCTCCTGTCATTTTTCTCTCCGACGCTTCGTTTAGGCGTAATCTTTCTGGGAGTTTTTGAGGGTTAGGTACGTTCTCAATCTTCCGGCTACGCCGGGCCCCAACTGAGCATATTCATGCTTTGGTTCTGTGAGGGGCCCCGCTTTCCGGCTTTCGCCTCACCTCAGAAAAATGCTCCAAACTGAATTCCTCAATGTATAACAAAATAGAACATTGTGCTAAGTTACAAATATCGTATGAGCTATTTTTCACATTTTACCTTAAGGTTGTGGAACGTCTGACACATATCCAAGTTGAAGCGACATCCGACATTAACTCAACCGATGTGGTCCTACAGACTCCTTTCCGCCTTCCGATCAAACTTTAAAAGGCCAACTCCGGAATTTTTATCTTTATTGTATGGGTTGTTCCGCGACTTTGCAGTAGCCCAGACCAACGTAAATACAGAACTGATCAGTGATACTACGATTACAATTACTCGGACGCTAACGCGGTCGCCAAACTGTCTGAGTCAAGTAGGTAAGTTCAACATGGTGTAGACATCGAGTCTGACTCGGACTGGTCGGCGTTATCGTCCGAGTCATGCAAGTACGGTGAACCTGGTGCAGGCACGTACTCTGACCCTGACTCGGACTGCTCCGTGTTACCGTCCGAGTCAGGTAGGTAATGTGAACATGGTTCAGACATGGACTCCGACTCTGACTCGGACCAGTCCGCCTCATGGTCCGAGTCAGGTAAGTAAGGTGAACACGGTCCAGGCATGGACTCTGACTCGGACTCGGCCTCTCACTCTGACTTGGACTCGGCCTCTGACTCTGACTCTGATTCGGACCAGTCCGCCTTAGGGTCCGAGTCAGGTAAGTAAGGTGAACACGGTCCAGGCATGGACTCTAACTCGGACTCGGCCTCTGACTTTGACTCTGACTCGGACTCGGACTCAGCCTCTGACTCTGACTCTGACTCGGACCAATGTGCCTTGGTGTCCGAGTCAGGTAAGTAAGGTGAACACGGTCCAGGAATGGACTCTGACTCTAACTCGGACTCGGCCTCTGACTCGGACTCGGCCTCTGACTTGGACTCTGACTCGGACCAGTCCGCCTTAGGGTCCGAGTCAGGTGAACACAGTCCAGGCATGGACTCTGACTCTGACTCTGACTCGGACTCGGACTCAGCCTCTGACTCTGACTCTGACTCGGACCAATGTGCCTTGGTGTCCGAGTCAGGTAAGTAAGGTGAACACGGTCCAGGAATGGACTCTGACTCTAACTCGGACTCGGCCTCTGACTCGGACTCGGCCTCTGACTTGGACTCTGACTCGGACCAGTCCGCCTTTGGGTCCGAGTCAGGTAAGTAAGGTGAACACGGTCCAGGAATGGACTCGGCCTCTGACTTGGACTCTGACTCGGACCAGTCCGCCTTAGGGTCCGAGTCAGGTAAGTAAGGTGAACACGGTCCAGGCATGGACTCTGACTCGGACTCGGCCTCTGACTCTGACTTGGACTCGGCCTCTGACTCTGACTCTGATTCGGACCAGTCCGCCTTAGGGTCCGAGTCAGGTAAGTAAGGTGAACACGGTCCAGGAATGGACTCTGACTCTGACTTGGACTCGGCCTCTGACTTTGACTCTGACTCGGACCAGTCTGCCTTAAGGTCAGAGTCAGGTAAGTACGGTGAACACGGTCCAGGCATGGACTCTGACGCGGACTCGACCTCTGACTCTGACTTGAACTCTGACTCGTACCAGTCCGCCTTAGGGTCCGAGTCAGGTGAACACGGTCCAGGCATGGACTCTGACTCTGACTCGGACTCGGCCTCTGACTCTTACTCTGACTCGGACCAGTCCGCCTTAGGGTCCGAGTCAGGTGAACACGGTCCAGGCATGGACTCTGACTCGGACTCGGACTCGGCCTCTGACTCTGACTCTGACTCGGACCAGTCCGCCTTAAGGTCCGAGTCAGGTGAGTAAAGTGAACACGGTCCAGGCATGGACTCGGACTCGAACTCGGACTCGGCCTCTGACTCGGACTCGGCCTCTGACTCTGACTCGGACCAGTCCGCCTTAGGGTCCGAGTCAGGTAAGTAAGGTGAACACGGTCCAGGCACCGTCTCTGACCCTGACTCTGACTCGGACTGTTCCGTGTTACCGTCCGAGTTATGTAAGTAGTGAACATGGTCCAGGTAGAGTGGTGGACACGATAAGGTAGCAAAGCGAACGTGATGCGAGATTTAGGGAACGCACGTGACACCTCACGCAGATCAGATTGTAAAAATCGCTTTGCAAGTTGTCCTGTCGTAGCATGACAAGGACAATGCAACTTTATTATTGAGACGGACAGACAGCTAGGCTAATACGAAACCATACTCCGTACACTGGGACCCGTGTTCTACACGGGCTATGGCCTAGTAATGTAATATTTATTAAAACGTAGCCGGATTATCCCTTAAGTTTTAAGACAATAATTCCGTATTTTAATAAATTCGATTCGCTAAATATTTATAATAAGAATAGTCCAGTCTCCGTCTGTCTGTCCGTCTGTCTGGCGGAACGCATCCCTTCAATGTACAACAAAATTACCATCCCTTCCATGTATTAGAATATGAAAAATAGTAGCAAGGATTGAACTTCCGGCCAGTTCGGACAGTCCAGCCAGTTCGGACAGTCCGGTCAGTCCGGACAGTGTGGTTAGTCCGGACTTATTAACTTAACCGGACCCACAGGGCAATCCGGATGGCCTGTCCGAACTTGCCGAACTGTCGAAACTGGCCGGCAAACGAGCCAAACAGGCCGGGAAATCCGGAATCCACAACCACGGGACTGTCCAAGCAGTTGTATAACCTTAAATACCGATGTATGTATAGGCATACGTATATATTTATATATACGAACCAATCTATATATATGCACCAAAAAGTGTACAGGAGGAGGGATGACGTATATATGTACAATCCTTTCGCGAGGCCCTGAATCCTTAGATACATATGTCTGAAAGTGAGTAAGAAAATCGATACCCCAAAACAAAACTACTTTCTCTCCCATACACATCTGTTCCTTTGCATCTAACTTGCATCCAAAATAGATATTTACATTAATAAATAAATAAGGTATTTTCAGTATAATATTTCTGAGCAAATAAAAATTGCTTTCTACTCATCATGTCGCATCCTTCTAACAATGTATCCAGTGAACATGAAAAACGTGCCAAAAATATGAAACGGGTAGAGATGGTAAGCTTTTGATTTTAGCACTTTTTAGAGAAAAAAAGTTTTACGTATAATTCTTTAATTTTTTAATGAATGTAGATTGCCGGAATTCCGATATGCATAATTCATATGCTAAGTATTGTCATATGGCACTACAAGTGCACAGGTATTTGCTTATGATGGGATTATTTTCTAAAACTAGATCTGTATGTATTTAAGGTGTGTCCACGCTTAAGTTGGACTGGAGTCGATGACCTGTGGAATTTGACGTGGTTAGTGAATTTTTAAAAACTCTTCGGAAAATTGTTGCTAGAAGTCATACCGTTCACGTTTTCCTCGGTAGGATTTGTCTTACTCCTTCCTCCGCAACCAGTCTGACTTTCCGGTGCAACCCTGACATTAGCAATTTTCTACTCTCTCGCGCAATAGCCTTGCTGATTTTTCCCCGTTGGTATTTAAATCTTGCCGGTTTTTCGGTTTTTGTGAAGGTTAGGGTATGTTCTTTTGCACGAGGCCCAAAATTTTTCAATTGGTCGTAATTGGGGAACATTTGGTGGGTTGTTTTTCTTGAGCACAAAATCGACGCCTTGAGCCGACAAGTACGCCTTACAAAGTTTGACATTATGCGAGGTAGCTAGGTCCGACCAAAATAACATTTCATCCAAATTATGCAGTTTCCTTATCCAGATCAGTAACCGCATCAATCATTCACTTTTATAAACTTCTGCGTTTATGGTGCCCTTGCAAATGTAGGGTGGAGAAATGTTGCCGAAACTGTCCAGCGCCTACCAAACTAGATATTTTTCTGGGAATTTAGTTTTGACCTTAAGTTTCCGTTGATAATCTACATCCTTGGATTTGGTGGAGTGCAAAAAATACTTTCCCGGAGTCTCTGAAAGGTCAACCATGACGTACGCTTCGTCATCCATGACGACAATTTTTGATGTCATTTTTGGGAAAAGTTGTTTGCAACATTTTTGTACTCTGCTTTCTTGGTCCTTGACATATTTTGTGGCACTTTGTTTTGCTCTGGCCGTAGTCCTCAGTTTCTGTACTTTAATTTTTCTCTTCAAACTTTTTAAAATTTTCGGTTTCCGGGCGGCGCCACGAGTGGAAGTAGAAGGATTAGTGGTGAAGATTTTTTTATGGGTTTCACTTTTTGGGAGGTGGCCATGAAAGGAGGTGGTTCGGAAATTTTTTGAATTTCACTATTTCGGCATCCTTATACTTTGAGGTTTAAGTATAGATAGTGGATTTGGTAAATTTTTCCTATTTGAAGTGCTGCCACGTCTTATTCGAATCTCGGTCGGCGACGTTTTTGTAGTATTGCAAAACCCGATTTGCGAGTCTTTCATTTTGACACCTTTTGTTATTGGATTTCGTCATTTTCCTGAAAAATGCTTTACAGCTACTCCTTGCCAGTGAAATTGGGTACCAAAATAACAAAAAACTAAACGAAAATTTCCACCACCTGCGCAGTGTATGGAAATCTTGCGCAGTCCAACTTAAGCATGGACACCCTATATGTGTTAGTTTTTAACAGTTTGGTTATTTTTATCATAACTGTTGTAAACGTGGTAAAGAATTTTATCCATTTGGCATTGGCCTTAGCGACGGAAAACTAAATTTTTAGCCAAGGATAAAAAAGCAATAAATATTCTATTTATTTTATTAGCCTCACGGCCTAACCTGGGGCATAATTCTGAAAATTAAGGGTGGTTTTTTATATTTCACATAAGATCAAATTGTAAGGCCCCTTACCAGCCTCACTAATACTACCATAGGGGAAATTTTGAAAAACCACGCTTAATTTGTCGGAAAAAAGCGCCAGGTTAGGATTGGAGATTAATATACATACATGTATTCTACATATATTGTTAAATTAAGAGAGAAAATTGAACTATGCTACAAAAAATTTATGAAAAAATGTATGTATGTAGCTGATGACGGCGGCTGTTCCATAAAATGGAGTCCAAAGAACCCTAATCGATTTCCTTTGTGTAGCTTGCACATATATTTTGAAACTTTTATGCTCGGTACTATGCTGATTTAAAAACCTTGGAAAATGATGACCCAGTAGTTTACCTTCGTCCTGCAAAGCTCTTCAATAGATCAGGTCCATTACTTCCACCAGCGTAGTAATGTCAAACTCAGGCGTCAATTTTTCGTCTGGTACGGACAAAGATGTTGAAACTTCGTTTGACTATATCAGCGAGATTATTATTATTAAAGACGCAGATAATATGAGTGTCGTCGGTGATATTGTTATTTTTTTATCCATTTTCAGGTTTTAATTTCTTTGTTATTACTGCTTTTATGGGTTCGATAGCCTTTTTAGTTAAACTCCCTATGTATTTTACACATTTGTGACTCCCTAAAGCTCATGTTGAGGCCCCCGTGGCAGGCTCGATAATTTTAGCTGGGGTTTTATTAAAGTTAGGGGGTTACGGGCTTATACGAGTTCTTAGTATCACAGGGGTTTCGGTCATAAAGTTTAGCCCTTACTTTATAGGGCTAAGATTAGCTAGAATAATGTTTACAGGGATCTTGTGCTGTCGTTTAAATGATTTTAAAGCTTTAGTAGCGTACTCTTCAGTATCCCATATAGCTATGGTGATTGGGGGACTAATAACTCTCTATTCATGGGGATTTATGGGGGCCTTAGTGATGATAGTAGCTCATGGAGTTTCCTCTTCAGGTTTATTTTGTATGGTTAATTTATACTACGAACGAACTGGGAGTCGAAGTTTTTTTATTAATAAGGGGCTTATTTTAAGTTTTCCTATTTTTTCTTTACTTATATTTTTTCTCTGCGCGTCAAACATTGCTGCCCCTCCGACTATTAATTTATTATCAGAGATTTTTTTGATAGCTAGAATTATGAGTTATGATTATGTCATACTTTTATTTTTTCCTCTAGGCTCCTTTTTAGGGGCTGTTTTTACATTATTTATATTTTCGTTTTCACAACACGGCTCTTCTTATAATTCACTATACGGGTTTGTTCATTCTAATGTTCGTGAGATCCACACTATTAGACTTCACATTGTCCCAGTAAATTTTTTAGTTTTAGGGTCTAATTTTATTTTTACATTTTACTAAATAATTTCATTTAAATAGTTTAAGAAAAATTTTAGTTTGTGATTCTATAGATGGGGGAGCCCTTTAAGTAATATTTTATTTGGTTTTACCTTTTTATTTAGGAGTTTTATTACTAGTGGCTAGCTTAATCAGTATGCGGTTTGGTCTTTTATATTTTCTTTCTACTGAAACTATATTTGTTGAATGAGAAATATTTTCTTTTAGATCAACTTCTATTATTATAACTCTTATTTTTGATTGAATAAGTTTGAGATTTATAGGGCTCGTAATATTTATTTCTTCTATGGTATTTTTTTACAGAATTATATATATAGAGGGGGACAAGTTTTTAACTCGGTTTATTTTTTTAGTATATTTCTTTGTCTTGAGTATAGTCTTTATAATTT